TTTAAATATAAGGACAGGTTACTTGGGAAAAGAATTTCTGTTTTTGTTTCCACAGAAAATAAAAAGCTGTGGGTTCCTTCCTTCCTTGATGAAGCAAGACCACCTGAATCAGTGGCCCAAGTGATCCAACATCTAAAACAGCTGAGATGATGTAGCCTTGCAGACCACAAAAACAAGGACTTCAATAGGTTTGTGTTTTTTTAGTCATGATCCCCCTGTTGTTTCAGCGCCCCTTAGCAGCAGGAAGTATTTTGGAAAAAACGATGCCCACATTCCAAATATTGTTTATAAATGTTTGTTTGCATGTATGCAGGGTTACTTATTGATACAAATTTAAGGTCAATTTCATGATTCATCTCTAAAAACTTTTTACAAGTAGTGGGTATGGCTGTAGCCCCTGAGTGTAGCTCAGAACTTCTCAAATGGAGGGATGATGAGGGGCACACAGTACTTTTTCAACCTTTTGTTTAATTTATGGATTGGCTGGAGTTGCTCTGTCACAGAGATTTCAATTAAGGAAGTTTCATTTCAACAAAGAAATCATGACCTAGGGATCAAGAATGACTGAAAGATGTATGTATGGTCTGAATGTATGATGTGGCCACACCCGTATGCATAAAATGTGATTGTGAATGCATGAGTGTGAACTGCTTAAATTGACTTGGATATGATAAAAATGATACTTAGGTTGTTTTGAAGATAGTTATAAAGGTACCTAAATTGCCTTGGATATAGCCAAAAGGAACATCCAGCCAGACAATGTCTTAAGAGGAAAGGTTGATGATTTGAGTCTTCAGAGCCAGTCAGTGGAAAAATAACAGAAGCCTACAACATGGCCTGAGAGCCAAAGAAATCTGTATGGAAGTTTCTATAGAGTAGCAAACAGTTCAAACAAAATTTTAGAAAATAAAAAAGGGGTAACTGTGGGAACAAGAGACCTTGGCCGGAGGCCCACTTCCAAATTAGCCTGGGAGCAGGCAGCTGTAACCAGTGTCTGCAACTGCTGAGAAAAACATGTTTACTAAAAACAATCCAGTGTCAGTAATCACAAAGAAAAACATGTTTAATGGAGCAATAAGTTCCTAATATTTTTGGAAGGGCTTGCCCATGAGAACACCCTGACCTTTCCAATGAACTGCCTCTTCCTGACCACCCACCCCTGCCTCTGGTGTCAGGATATATAACAAGCCCGGGTAAGAATAAAGTGAGACTTCTTTCGTTGGACTGGTCTCTGTGTCATCAATCCCGACACTGTCCGCAGATTCTCGGTCCCAGGCTTTGTGGGTGCAGCAGACCTAGCCTGCAGCTTTGGGAGGGGTGCACATGGAGTGGTGAGGGAGGAAGGGTCACCCAACTTAATGGGGGAAGTCCTTCTCTGTATATGTTTTATTGGCTGATATATGAAGCACTGTTGGCCAATAAGGAAGCAAGGTAGGTGGGATTAGGATTCTAGAAGGAGTTTTGGAAATGTAGTTAAGAGTAGAGAGTCACCATATGACTTCCAGAAGACAGCATGCATGAGGCTCACATCCTCAGTAAGATAAATCCATATATATATATATATATATATATATATATATATATATATATATGTAGTCAGGGTTAATTGATACAGGAGACTGCTTCCTGAACAAAACACCAATAGCAAAGACACTGAGGTCAACAATACATACATGGCACCTTCTGAAACTGAGTAGCTTCTTTATAGCAAAGGACACAGTCAACAAGACAAAAAGGCAGCCAACAGAATGGGCAAAGGTATTCACTAACCGCACATCTGACAGAGGAAATCAAGAAGCAAGTCTCCAAAACACAAAAGGATCCAATTAAAAAGTGGGCTACAGAACTACATAGACAATTCTCAATAGAGAATAAAATGGCTGAGAGGCACTTGAGAGAGAGCTCAACATCCATAGCAATTAGGGCAATGCAAATGAAGACAACTCTGAGATACCATCTTACTCTTTCAGAATGGCTAAAACCATAAATGCCATTAACAGTTTATGCTGGAAAGGATGTGGAGAATGGGGAACACTCCTCCACTGCTGGTAGGACTGCCATCTTGTACAGCCATTTTGGAAATCAGTATGGAGATTCCTCAGAACATGGGTATCAGCCTACCACAAGTCCCAGCAATTCCACTCTTAGGCATATATCCAAATGATGCACATTGATACAACAGGGGCATCTGTTCCATTATGTTCATAGCAGCATTATTTGTAGTAGCCAGAACTTGGAGGCAACCTAGATGATCCTGAACTGACGAGTGGATAGAGAAGATGAGGTACATTTGCACAATGGAGTACTATTCAGCAGAAGAAAACAATTGAATCCTGAATTTTGCAGGCAAATGAATGGCGCTAGAAGAAACCATCCTGAGTGAGGTAACCCAGTAACAAAAACACAAACATGGTATGTACTCTCTCATATATGGATTTTAGACATATATCTGGTGAGTGCCAGCCTACAATCCCATGGCCAGAGAGTCTGGGGAACAGAACCTTCATCCAATGACTGATGGAAGTAGAGGCAGACTCCCACAGCTAAATACTAAGCTGAACTCAAGGAACCCAGTGACAGAGATGGAGGGCTGATGAGCAAAGGGGTTAATACTGGTCTGATTTAACCCCAGAAACAGACAACTTTACAAGGGGTAGCTCTTGAATCCCAGACTGATGGCTGGGACTCCAGCATGGGACTGACCAAGACCCCCTGAATGTGGGTATCAGTGAGGAGGTCTAGGCAAGCTATTGGGCCTTGGGTAGTAGATCATTATCTCTGGCATACAGATGTACTTTAGGTCCCATCACACAATGAGAGATGACCTCTCATCCTGGACTCTTGGGACAGACTATGGACACCCTTATGGAGGGCCTCACCCTCCCTGGGGAAAGGAGAGGGTACTGGGGGGGTTTGGTGTGAGGGTGTGGGAGGAGGGGAGGGAAAGGGAGAAGGACCTGGGATTGACATGTGAAGCAACCTTGTTTCTAATTTAAATTTAAAAATAAAAATTTTAAAAATCCTAATTTCCATTTAAAATTTTTATTATTCTTGTACACATCACAGAGTCAGAATTCATGTGTGTGGAACATTCATGCTTCTTTATGAGTTTGAGATAGTGAACACTTTTATACATTGTGGGAACAACAGACCTTGGCTGAAGGCCCACTTCCCCATCAGCCTGGGAGCAGGCAGCTATAACCACAGACATGTTTACTAAAAACATGTTTACTAAAAACAATACAGTGCCTTTAAGAAATGCTTACTGGTGCAATAAATTCCTGATAAGGGCTTGCCCACGGGAACACTCTGACCTTGACCTTTTCCAATGACTAACCACATCTTTCTGACCCCCATCCCTGCCTTTGGTGTCAGGGCATATAATAACCAGCCAGGGTAAGAATAGAGTGGAGCCTTCTTGAGGGGCCTTATAAGAGCCTTCTAGAAGCCTTCTTGAGGCTTTCTTTTCACCACCGACTGGTATCTGTGTCATCAATCCGGACACCCTCCACACATTCTTGGACACAGGCTGTGCAGTGGTTGCAGAAATACATGATCTCTATTTTTTTATATATAACCCATGGGTAAGGGGACTTACTGTCCTTCTGAATTATTTGTTTGGTTATTTTTGGTACACTATTGTTTATGGTTTCTCAACAAACTCTGCATCCTAGCGTATTGTATCAATAGGAGATGTATAAGACAAATGGTTTTTAGTACTCTTGCATTGTGCTTGTAGTAAATGTTATTTGAGTTTAAACTCAGTGAAAGAAACCATAAAATGAAGCTAGATGTGGCACACAAAAAAGTAAAAGATAAAAATGAAAACAGAGAACTTGATTGCCAGGACTTTGATAGAGGATCTAAACTTCCAAGTGAGTGGTCATTCATTCTTCTTAGTAATGTGGTAGCAAACGTATTATTTGAGACCATAGACATAGTGGGGAAATGAATATCAGATTACTTTCTTTCTAGGCTCTTGCTGTCAGCATATGTGAGACTATGACCAAATAGGGTAAGTGAGGTGGACATTTTTTCAGTTCATGACTCTAAGCCTGGTAACCATTTGTCAGAGGGACTATAATGGAGAGGCTTCCCGAACTGGCCAGCCCCTGTAAGAAGATTGGTGAACATCCCAACTGTCATAATAGAGAATTCATACAGTATTTGATGGAATCAGATGCAAATATCCACAAGCAAGGAAGGGAAGAAGGAATACATGAGCAAGGGAAATCAAGATTATGAAGAAGAAATTTACAGAGACAGCCTATAGAAACTAAGCTCATGGAAAATCATGAACTCTGGACCAATAACTGTGGAGCCTCCATGGGACCAAACTGGTCCCTCTGTGTGTTGGAGACAATTTTAATGCTTGGATTATATGAGGGGCCCCTGATAACAGGACCAGAATCTCTCAATGGTGCATGATCTAGCTTGTTGGTGCCCATTCCCTATGAGGGGATGCTATGTTTAGCCTGAACACAGAGGGGAGGGTCTTGATCTTACCTCAACTTAATATGGCAGACTTTGCAGATTCCCCATAAGAGCTTTATCTATTGGGAGGAGTGGATGGGGCATAGGCTAGAGGTGGAGGCAAAGGGTGGCAGGAGGAGCATTGTGAGAGAGAATTTGGTTGGAATATAAAATGAAATTAAAAAATAAATTCCTAAAATATTTTTAATATTGAAAGAAGCCATATACTTCAAATATTGGATCTTTTCAGGAAATGAAAACTCAATTAAATATAAAAGATATTATTATCCTGATAATGCATAGAGTATCCAAATACATTTCATACATCATAAAGAAAATACTTTGTATTTGAAGATATTGTAATATTTACCGAGGGAAATCATTCATGGACAAGTGATTTCTTGTTCAATTGTAGTTGGTTCCACAACTTCCTTTTATACAGCGATGGGAAAGTTCACCTTCACATATCTGGAGGTAAGGCTTTTCTGACCTACAGGAAGGCTAATACACACATATGGAAAACTTTTGTGGTAATTATTCCTTTGAAGATACAATGCCTACTCACAATATATACAGATCAAAAGATATACAAAATATTTCCACTAAAGTGCAACATGGTAAACCAATGTGTTTATTCAGGTTACATACGTATAGTAGCTTTGAGGAGACAATGCCAGGTATATCACAAAAGGTCCTACTTCATAAAATTGGTGACAACTCACCAAAGTTGCAATCCTACAATTGTATGCATGATGTTCACATTGTTTTAAAAATCATAGAGCATCAACCAGGTACCCAGAATAGTCAGAGTTCCCTCATCTCAGCCTCTGTTCAATATTTCTATAATTTTGAGAGAGCGTCTTGTCTGTATTTTTCGGTCTCTAGAAATAGTTTAGGTTATTTGATTCCTTAGATAAAGGAGCTTGCCTTCTCTCACTTCTAAGTAATGTTTGTGTTGATGAACATTGCAGAAAAGAAGTCCCACAAATTTTGACCTCTCCACTATTTTTCTGATGATACCCTCAACCTGAGTGGCCACTATTTATTACAGAACGTGGTTCATATAATCTGTTACCATGTTTGTCTTTGCTGTAATCATTTGGGCTACTTTAAAGATTAGATCAAGTCTCCAGAATACTCTGGCTTGACTAGGTAAACTTCCCTGTTGTTTTTCTTACTACCTGACAGATCGTCAAAGGAAACATATGTAGACTTACCTTTATTGCTCCCATGATTTTCCCATCTAATTTGTCATCTATCTAATTATTATTTAGTAAATGCATCAGATAAGGAGTTAAAAAGTGATCAATATTTTCTCAAATTTATATTTCTCAAATGAGAACAGCTTTATCGTATTTTCTGATCATATATAATATCAGCTCTGTTCTAAGTGTTTATTTACATTGGGAAAATATACTTATCTATGCTTGTTTTTCTAAAGTTAAAAATTACACATCTTGCTTGTATCTTGTGAGGAACTAAACCACTGACAGATACTTTGAAGTGTTAAATGAAGTGAACCTCTTGAGAAGAGATTTTGCTGTAACCTCCTCATAGCACACTTTACATCATTGTTCCTCAGACTGTAGATCACAGGATTAAGTGCTGGAGGTAGCACAGTGTAGAGCACAGAGAAAAGCCTATCTGATATTGATGGTACATTTGAGGAAGGCTTCACATAGACAAAGCAAGCAGTAGCAATGAAAACAGTGAAAACAGTGAGGTGGGGGATGCATGTGGCAAATGCTTTGGACTGACCTTTAGTGGTAGGAATCTTAAGCACACTAGAGAAAATGTAAACATAAGAGATCACCACACATATGAAGCAGGACATGCCTAGACACACACCAATTCCAAGACTTGTATAAATGAACAAAAACATTTTGGAGCATGAGATCCTTAGCAATGATGGGACATCACAGAAAAACTGTGGGATCATATTAGAGCCACAGAAAGGCATGGAAAATGTGCCAGATGTGTACATGGCTCCAAAGAATACCCCAGTAATCCAGGAAACACCCACCATCAGCATACATGTACTGCTATTCATGATGGCATCATAATGCAGGGGACAGCAAATGGCAACATAGCGGTCATAAGACATGGAAGTTAGGACAAATAATTCCCCTGCCGCAAAAGAAGTCATTAAAAATACTTGTAGGGCACAAGCAAAAATGGAAATGGAATTGTGGTGGGTTAGGCTATTGACAATAAAATTTGGGATGGGAACTGACACAAAAAATACATCCAACAGGGACAAATTCTTCAGAAAGAAGTACATGGGTGTTTGAAGCTGCAAATCAAGGGTGGTGAGAGTGATGATGATCAGGTTACTTATTAGGGCTGCCATGTACATCACTAGGAAGAACACTCCACATAAAGTCTGTAGATTCTGGATGTTCGAAAAGCCCATAAGGAGGAATCCACTTATTGCAGTGAAATTGGACATACTTGAATATTTTCAGCCCCTGTCAGCATGAAAGGAAAAATGAATAAGTACTGGTACTGTCATAAGTAATAACACTTATGTAGAGAATTTCTCCATTGAAATACACATAAATGGCAGATACATTTCCAACAATTTCTCATTTCTTGTCCCTTCTTCTCATGCACTTGTCCTTTATCTCTCTCCCTATATATATTCTTTGAATATGTATATAAATCTCCATTTTTCTCTACTCCCTCACTATCTTCTCTCTGATTTTCTCTTTCTCTCTCTCTCTCTCTCTCTCTCTCTCTCTCTCTCTCTCTCTCTCTCTCTCCAGTCTTACAGTGACCTTGAGTCTTTCTAAATAAAAACTAGGTTTTCTATGATTTAGCTATAGAACCTTAAGTCTTCTTTGTAGCATAAACAATATTTAATATAAATTAATTTTATCATGTGAAGTCTATAGTTATAATTAAGGCATAAAAATTTCCATGGATTTAGGAAGGTGTTGTTTCCATCATAGTGTTGGTACATTATTCTTTTATGAATACTGAGTCTGTCAATAGATTGTAAGAATGATTTTGAATGTTTGAAAAACAGTCATGAGAGAGTTATGAAGATATATCTAAATATTACCTCAATATGCTAATTACAAATGTATCAAAATGTCATGTTACTCCATATAATATGCAATTACTCTGCATTAATATGCATAAACAAAAGAAAATGCAAAAAATAAATACAAAAAAAGTAAAAATGTATTTTTTTAAAATCATATTGACACAAACTTGTATTTGTATTAGATGACTATGTATTTGAACAACAAAAATTAGACTAACATACTGAATGCTTTTGTCAACTCTTTCATAGCATTTTTCAAGAAAATAACCTAGATTTAGATGCCACTTTACCTAAACCCACTGCATATGTCCAATGGAAAGCTAAAGGTAAGATAAAAATTTGACATCTCTCATAATTTATTTTGAATTCGTTTGTCTTAAACTTTCAGAGAAACTAATGCTCAACATTAAGGACAAACATTGTGAATACCTCTAGCCAATAATACACTCACTAACAGACTGAAGAAGAGAGATTATCTAAGATATTTCCAATTAACAATAATAATTTACAGAATCTACAAATGACAAACAAAAACTGCTTTTTTCTTGTCCATAAACCTGTCTTGAACAATGAAGGATTGTATGCAGATGACTCACTCATGAGGCTGACCCTACAAGAAGGAGTGATAAACTGGGAAGAAATATGAAAACTTCCAAATAAATCATTTGGTGTTTATACAGACTACAAAGCAAATGAAAGTTTCTCCTCCTGATATTTCCCTTTAGATTAAACAGAGATTGTCTCTCTAAGCAGAGTCATCTGTAATTACCTGGACACTGTATAAATACTATAACCAGATTGAGATAAGAATCAACCAGACTACAGTGTGACCCAATAACTGTTATTCAATTTTCCTGTTTAATATTGGAGTTCTTGTTAATAGTTCAGAAGAAGAGCCTACTTAATACAGTTATGTTTGCTAAATTACTTTCCTGTTGTTTTCTATTATGTCTGATTTTTTATTTTGGTGGAGATCAGATTTTCCTAATGTGCTATAATATTCAAAAGCCAGGATCCTTATGATATAGGATTCCTTTCAAGAGATTCAAGCCAAATATTCTTTCATTTCCTTGAGTATTTTTCTTTTTAAAATCATATTGTTTGAAATCCACTTTTGAATATTATCTCATATGTCTTAATACAAGTCAACTGCTGTATGTGTTCAAATTGCATTATTTAGGTAAGTCTATTCTTTAATAAAATACCATTGGACAAATCTCACTCTCTCTCACTCTCTCTCTCTCTCTCTCTCTCTCTCTCTCTCTCTCTCTCTCATCTCTATCTCTCTGTATGTTTGTGCATATGTGTATGTGCATAATTGTCTGTTCCATGACTAAGTGACTGAGAATAATATAGATTGTACAGGGGCATCTTATTCTCCACCTGATAATGCAAAGATAAACAGGTACAAATATTTTACTAATCAAAAAAATCTTCAGATGGCAGAATTTAGGAAAATAAAAGCTCATGATTTACTACTGATTAATCAGTTGGCTGCTTAATTTATTTCCAGCATCATGCAAAAGACAAGTATATAGGGCAAAGTGCCCTAGTGAGGAAATTTAGGAAAGTACGTATCTAATGCAACATCAAATGAATCCTGTTTTGAATATTTACATAAAAGCTGTGGGTGACACAGAAATAAATATGAGGTAGAGGACTGAAATTCTGGAGTCTTGCCAGACTATTACAATACTCAGCCTGAGGAAATAAAGAAAGAAGGAAAATATGAGATATAAATATATAAATTATGTTGCTTTTAATACCTTTCCCACTTTCCGCCGTATCTGTATTTTTAAAACTATATTTTAGAGAGCATACTTTAACATTTTAACAATGGAAATTTGAAAATTTTACCTTACAAAAATTCAGAATCTTCACGTTTCTAGATAAGAGTAACTGTTTAGGTTTTCCAGAAGACTGGTTTAAGGATGTGAAAATTTTTTCACATCTGAAAATGTTCAGTTTAGCACTACAAAGAATAATAGAACATACAACTCTTTGTGTTAAATTCTGAAGTTATATCATATTCTTCTGTCTTTAAGGTTGTTATAAAACTCAAATTCCTGAGTTAACCTGATTTCATTTCTTATCCCGAGAAAGCAAATATAAGCAACACAGAAACCATTTTACAGTTTTATAAACTTTGATGTGGATTCCTTTGAAAAGATCTATAATGACATAGTATTAATAGACCTATCAAAATCACTTGGCTACACCCTGGAAGTCCCAAATGACAAATCTTTATTGATGGCCTTATTAAGAACCCATGTCTTAAGACAATTAGTGTTGGAATAATTGCTGTTTTTATACATGAGATTTATCAAGTCCCAGAAAACAAATGAATACCTAAAAGTGAACATTATCATATTTTACTCAGAATTAAATTACAAATATATTTTCTTAGCTGCATAGTATATAGAGTTGCAGACAATGTTGTAAAAAGGAAGTTGCTCATTATAGCTCACATTATAGCTCAATCACTAGAAAGAACATTCCAAACACAGTCTGTATCTCAAGGATATCAGAAAATTCCAAAAGATGAATGTGGTTATTGAAATGGCATTAGCGTAGTACATTCACTTCACGGCCTATCAGCAGGTGAGGGGAAATTAGTAAATACTTGCAATGTGCCAAATAATAACACTAACGTTCAGAAATAGTCACTAGAAAACATGTCAGTTAACTACCTAAAGTACAGAATATTATATATTTTCATAAAATGTCATTTATTTCTCCTTCCCACTCTCATTCTTCCTTCTGTAGCTTTTCTAAATATTTTTCTTCCCTCTTTTTCCAATATCTTGTTCATGCCTTTCTGACTTTCCTACCTTCCTGTTCTCTATTTTCTCTTTCCCTTTCTCCTCTCTCTCTCTCTCTATATATATATATATATATATATATATATATATTACACATACACACACACACACACACATATATATATATATATATATATATATATATATATATATATGTTCACTTTCAATGTCCCTATCCTCATTTCCCTCTATATTGCCCTTGCTATCTCTGTATACTGGCCTTGTATTTTTCTTAATTCTCTGTACAAATGTGGTAAATTTTCTACAACTGATAAATGAAACCTTAGCTCACCACTATATTAAAATCAAGTCTGATTATTGTAAACAATATGTGATATGAATCTGTTTATTTAATTTTAGGATAGTTTGAAAATTTAGTTTAGGTAGAAACCATGATGATTTTAGTTTGGTCTTGTTTTTATTTATGCAAGAAATGGATTACCTTTTTTTCTTGTCAAATAAAGAAATGTTTTGTTTTTATATTTTTTATTTAACTTTTTACACATGTTACTCTGAGTTCACATTCCCTCCCCTCTCCCCAGCCCCCTATTCCTCCCCACCCCCCCATCCCACTCCAACTCCCTTCCACTCTCCAGGGAGGGTGATGCCTTGATGAAGGATTTTCAGAGTATGTCATATAATCCAGTGCAGGGCCTAGGTCCTTCCCCATGTTTTCAGGCTGAGAGGGCATCCCTCCATGTGGAATGGGATCCCAGATTCCATTTGCTTGGGGAAGGGTCTAGGCCCTGCCCTACATGAAATGACAGACTATGGACACCCCAATGGAGGGCCTCACCCTCCCTGGGGGAATGAGGGGATAATGGGGGGGGTTGGGGGTAGGGCATGGGAGGAGGGGAGGGAATAGGAGAGGGACCTGGAACTGACTTGTGAAGCAACATTGTTTCTTATCTAAATTTAAACTGGAAAATAAAATAAAAAAAACAAAAGAATATTTTATCCACATAAAAAAATAATATACCTTCTTCTCATCACCACATGAAACCTTCTCAAAAATCGACCACATACATGGCAACATATCAAACCTCAGCAACTTCAAAAAATTGGAATAACTCCATGCATCTTATCAGACCACCATGCTTTAAAATTAAAATTCAACAACAGCACAAATTGCAGAAAACCTACAAACTCATTGAAATTGAATAATGCACAACTGCACCTTTCCTGGGTCATAGAAGAAATAAAAAAGAAAGTAAAGACTTCCTAGAATTCAAGGAGAATGAAGAAACTATGTATGCAAACTTATGGAACACTTTGAAAGTAGTGCTTAGAGGAAAGTTCATAGCACTAAGTGCCCACATGAAGAAACTGGAGAATAGTTATACTAGAGAATTAACAGCACAGCTGAAATCTCTAGAACACAAAGAAGCAAACTCCCCCAGGAGGAGTAGATGCTAGGAAATAATCAAATTGAGGGCTAAAATCAATAAAGTAGAAACTAGGAAAACAATACAAAGAATCAATGCAACGAAGAGTTAGTTCTTTGAGAAAATCAACAAGATCGACAAACCTTTGTCCAAACTTACCAAACAGCAGAGTGTGAACAAGCAAATTAACAAAATCAGAAATGAAAAGGGAGACATAACAATGGACTCTGAGGAAATTCAGAGAATCATAAGGTCATACTTTGAAAACCTGTACTCCACAAAATTTGAAAATTTAAAGGAAATGGATGACTCCCTGGATAGCTATTACTTGCCAAAATTAAATCAAGTACACATAATCAATTTAAATAGGCCTATAACCACTATGGAAATAGAAGAATTCAGCAAATGTATCCCAACCAAAAAAGCCCAGGTCCAGATGGCCTCAGTGCAGAATTCTACCATAAATTCAAAGAACAGCTTATACCAATTCTTCTCAAAGTATTCCATACAATAAAAGCAGAAGGGTCTTTGCCAAACTCTTTCTATGAGGCTTCAATAACCTTGATCCCCAAGCCACACAAAGACACAACCAAGAAAGAGAACTTCAGACCAATATCCCTCATGGACATTGATGCAAAAATACTCAATTAAATACTGGAAAATTTAATCCAAGAACATATCAAAACAATCATTCAACACAATCAAGTAGGTTTCAACCCAGGCATGCAGGGATGGTTCTACATACAAAAATCCATCAATGTAATCTGCCATATAAACAAGCTGAAAAACAAAAATCACATGACCATCTCACTAGATGCTGAAAAAGCCTTTGAGGAAATCCAACACCCCTTCATGATAAAGGTCTTGGAGAGATCTGGGATAACAGGAACATACCTAAACATAATAAAAGCTATATACAGCAAACCAACAGTCAACATCAAACTAAATGGACAGAAATTCAACACAATTCCGCTAAAATCAGGAACATGACAAGGCTGTCCACTCTCTCCATACCTTTTCATTATTGTACTTGAAGTTCTAGCCAGAGCCATATGACAACAAAGGGAGATCAAGGGTATACAAATTGGAAAGGAAGAAGTCAAACAATAACTATTTGCAGATGATATGATAGTTTACATCAATGACCCAAAGAACTCCACCAGGGAACTCTTACAGCTGTTAACACCTTCAGCAATGTGGCAGCCTCAAGATCAACTCAAGAAAATCAGTAGCCCTACTGTATACCGATGATAAAAGGACTGAGAAAGAAATCAGAGAAACATCACCCTTTACAATTGCCATAGCAAAAAGAGGGATGCTCTCTCAGCCTGGATTCTTAGGGGAGTGCTTGGACCTTACCCTGAGTGAAATGAAAGACTCTAGATATCCCCTATGTGGAAGGAATTGGCAATAGGGTGGGAGCCTGAGGGGGATGAGGAGGTGGGGGAGGAGGGGAGGAAGAGGGAACTGGGATTGACATGTAAAACAAGCTATTTAAAATTAAAATAAAAAAATTAAAAAAAAAATTGCCACAAACAACATAAAATACCTTGGGGTAACACCTGTATCACAAGAACTTTGAATCTTTAAAGAAAGAAATCAAAGAAGTCCTCAGAAAATGGAAAAAATCGCCCTTGCTCTTGAATAGGTAGGATTTATTCCTGCCAAAAGCAATCTACAGATTCAATGCAATCCCCATTAAAATACCACCAAAATTCTTCACAGACCTTGAAAGGACAATAATCAAATTTGTATGGAAAAAAAAGTCCCAGGATATCCAAAACAACTCTGCTCAACAAGGCAACATCTGGAGGCATCACCATCCCTGACTTCAAGTTCTATCATAGAGCTTTAGTCCTGAAAACAGATTGGTATTGGCACAAACATAGACAGGTAGACCAATGGAATCGAACTGAAAACCCTGATATTAACGCACACATGTATGAATATCTGCTCTTTGAAAAAGAAGCTAAAATATGCAATGGAAAAATGAAAGCATCTTCAACAAATGGTGCTGGAATTAACTGGATGAGAATGCGGATCTACCCATGTCTATTGCCATGCACAAAACTTCAGTCCAAATGGATCAAAGACCTCAACATAAATGCAGTTACACTGAACCTCTTGGAAGAGGAAGTGGGTGGTACCCTTGAACGAATTGGTACAGGAGACAGCTTCCTAAACATAACACCAGTAGCACAGACAGTGAGATCAACAATTAATAAATGGGACCTACTGAAACTGAGAAGCTTCTGTAAGGCAAAGGACACAGTCAGCAAGACAAAAAGGGATCCAATTAAAAAGTGGACTACAGAATTAAATAGAGAATTTTCAATTTTCAATAGGTCTAAAATTGCTGAGAGGCACTTGAGAAAGTGTTCAACATCTTTAGCTTTCCAGGAAATGCAAATCAAAACAACTCTGAGATACCATCTCACTCCTGTCAGAAACACCAATGACAATTTATGCTGGAGAGGATGTGGTGAAAGCAGAACACTCCTCCACTGCTGGTAGGAATGCCAACTTGTACAGCCACTTTGGAAATCAGTATGGAGTTTCCTCAGAAAAATGGGAATAAACCTACCACAATACCCAGCAACTCCACTCTTAGGCATATATCCACAGATGCACATTCATACAACAAGGATGTCTGTTCCACTATGTTCATAGCAACATTATTTGTAATAGCCATAATTTGGAAGCAACCGAGATGCCCCTCAACCGAAGAGTGGATAGAGAAAACATGATACATTTATACATGGAGT